ATATAACATCTACCTGAAGGACCATCGTTGTTGGTGTGGATAATACCTCTCCGTGTGCAAATTTTTGGATGTGCGCGGGGATCATCTGGGCCCGTTCGTCCAACGCAGCATTCTCTAATTTTGACAGAACATCTGCCTCGACATTTTCAATTCTGGAGACCTGGTCGAGCACCACGTGTTCAAATTTATTGGTTTGTATCTCAATCAGCTCCTTGTATGACTTCAATCTTTCCTCTCTAGCCTCTGCGGACCCGTTCACCTGGCTTACCACCAGCTGGCTATCTGACCGGACCTTCAGCCGGTCGGCACCCAGGGCCTTAACATATTTTAAACCTGCAATAAGGGCCTCATATTCGGCCTCATTGTTAGTTACTTTAAAGTTAAAGTGTATAGAATAATATGCTTTAAACCTTTCGGGGATGTGATAACAGCTCCCCCTCCACAGCCTTTTGCACTGGATGCTCCGTCCGCGTACATCTCCCACCAGTTGTTCAGGTTTTCGCCGTTCGAGATTTCTTCAGTTGGCCGAGCAGTGCATTCTGCAATAAAATCTGCCAACGCCTGGCCCTTGATGGTAGGGCGAGGCCTGAAATCCACCTCGTACTGCCCGATCAGGAGGGACCATTTGGTGATGCGTCCGCTAGCCATTGGATTCCTCAGGATGGTTGCCAGCGGCTGTGTTGTGTAGACGGAAACTGGATGAGCTTGAAAGTATGATGTCAGTCGTTTGATAGCTGCGATCAAAGCCAGGGTGGTTTTCTCCATCAATGTATATCTCGTTTCAGGCCCGTTCAGGGCCTTGCTCACAAAGTAAATCCCCCGCTGAACGCCCTCCTCTTCCTTTAACAGGACCGAGCTGACTGCAAGGTCAGCCACGGCCTGAAACATATACAAATGTTCTCCCGGGTCCGGTTTCGTCAGGACCAAGGGGGAAGACAGGTAAGCTTTGAACTCCTCAAAAGCTACTTGACATTCTGCTGTCCACTCGAAGGGATTGGCCTTCTTCATGATCTGGAGGAATGGAATCTCCCGGTCAGCCAGTTTGGCCAAGAACCTGCTCAGGGCTGCCAACCTCTCAGTCAACCTCTGAACCTCTTTCAAGTTCCTTGGCACTTCCATATCCATGATTGCTTTCACTTTTTCGGGGTTAGGCTCGATCCCTCGTTCGCTCATCATGTATCCCGAGAATTCCCCCCCCTTGACTGCAAAGGCACACTTCTTGGGGTTTAACCTCATGTTCGCCTTCTGCACTATCCTGAAGATCTTCTCCATGTCCCGCGCGTGATCCCTTTCTTTTTTGCTTTTCATCAGGATGTCATCCACACATGCTTCCATGGTGACTCCCAAGACCTCTTTGAACAACATCCCGATCATCCTCGGAAAGGTGGCCATGGCATTCTTCAACCTGAACGGCATGACTATATAGCAGTTTTCTCCGCATCATCTGGGTGCATAAAGACCTGGTGATAACCTCTAAAGGCATCCAGGAAACTCAGCAGCTCACATCCAGTTGTCTCATCCACCAGGAGATCAATTCTTGGCACATGATAGGGGTCCATAGGGAGCTTTTATTTAGGTTCGTGTAATCCACACACATCCTCCATGTTGATCCCTTCGGGGCAAGGACTACATTGGCTAACCATTCAACATGAATAATTGGCCGAATGTGTCTGATCCTCAACAAGGTTGCCACCTCCTGCTTTGTGAATTCTCGCCGTTTGGCAACCTGATGCCTTTTCTTCTGTTGCACCGGCTTTGCGTCAGGCCGAACGGCCAACTTGTGGCAGATGAGCTCAATCCCTGGCATGTCCTCTGGTCCCCGCGCGAACAAGATCTGAAACCTCTTTAAGACCATGATTACCCCCTCTTGAATCTCTTTCTTAAGATCAGCCCCGATTGCAATTTTCTGGTCGGGGGTGAGTCAATCTCAATGTATTCCAACATGGTGGCCGGTGCGAGACATGCATCGAACTCTGTCTTCCTGGTCTGCACTTCGATACTGTTCATCTGCATCCCCCGAGTATTCATCTTCTTCAGAGCTTCCCGATAACATGTTCGGGCTGTTATTGGGTCTGTTCGGTCTACTCCTACACCAGTATCAGTAGGGAACTTGATGCAGGAGTGTCGAACAGAAGCTATCGCTTCCAAATCTTCCAGTCTCGGTTGGCCCAATATGGCGTTGTGGACACAATTAATGTCCTCCACCACGAACGTCATACGAACGGCTGCACGATGTGATTCATCCCCGATTTCGACCAGGAGCTGGATGGTTCCTTCAGCCTCGATACAGTTCCTGGTGAAGCTGGCTAGCGGCGTCTTCAAGTTTGTCAGTTGACTCCTCTGAAGTCCCATTTTCTCGAACGTGTTTAGGTACAACACGTTTACGCTGCTCCCAGTATCCACCAGAACCCGGCGGAGCAGTGCGTTATCCATACACATACTGATCACTAACTCGTGCCTGTGCGGACTTGGTGAGTTTGGCAAATCTGCCACCCCGAACGTGATTGGCTCCATTCTTTCTTTTTTCTGGGGCGGGGTAGATACAGAGGCTACGTACAAACCCCGCTCGAACTTTTTCCGTTCGGCAGCCGTATCTCCGGTCTCTCCCCCCACCAAAGATGACCTTCACCTCCATCCTTAGCTTTTTCCCTGGGCTTTCAGACCCTTCAGCCTCTTCCCTAGGTGGGATGTATGCATCATTTCGGGGTTCAACATCTCTCTGGCTGCCCCTTTTCCAGCTGTTCGGCTTCCCAACTGGGCGCTGATTCGGGGAAGGGCTGTTCGGGTTTTTATTCACATACTTCCTCAGATAACCCCGCTGAATCAACTCCTCGATCGCAATCTACAAAGCCCGGCAGTTCTCAGCAAGGTGCCCGCACCGCTTATGATACTTGCTGAAAGCATTCGGATCAGCCCCCATGAAATCTTTTGTATCGGTTGGGGGGGGGGGGATAGTACCCCTCTCCTTCTGGAATACGCTCGCAATTGTCATGACAAGCGGAGTAAAACGTTTGTTCCTTGGATGGGGTGGTGCAGTTGCTGGCATGGGACCTAACCGATCAGCCAACCTTGTAGGGGCAGGGTGCTGGACCGTTCGGTCTCGTATCCTGATTTCCTCTTCCAGGGCAGCATGCTTCCTGGCCCTCTCCAGCACATCGACATAGCCCGTACCAGTGTTCTTCTTTAAATCATTGTACAGTTCCCCGGTCTGGAGGGCATCAGTGAATAGGAGGATTGCTATCTCATCCGTCATGACAGTCACCTTCAGGGTTTCGCTTCTCCATCTGGTTAGGAAGTCATTAATGGATTCCTTTGGTCCCTGCCTCACACTGGTCAGGTAACCAAAGTGTAACTTGGGGGTGGTGCTGGAGGCGAACTGAGCCAAGAATAATGTGGACAGTTCAGCAAAACTCCTGATCGAGCCCGGCTGCAAGGTGCCGAACCACTCTTGTGCGGGTCCCCGAAGGGTGCTGAAGAATAATCTGCAAATTGCAGCATTAGTGGCCCCCAAGAGCATGAGGCCTCCTTGATAGCTTCTTAAATGTACGTGGGGATCTCCCACCCCATCGTAAGTCAGGCCGTTCTGGGGTCGGCAGTCCCTTAATATTTCCGCGTTCATAATCTCCCTGGTGAAAGGAGAAGTAATCCCAACCCGAGCTGGTGGAGTCTGTTGGGGGGTGTGGTTAACCTGCTCCCTGAGTTCGGACATTTGCCTCCTCATTTCGGCCATTTCTTCCTCATGGGCCGTTCAGGGAGGAGGAGTCCTCAGGTCCATGAATTCCGGAGTTTGCTCTGGTGGAGGTGCCGTTGTTTCCCTCCTTTGGCGGATGAATCTTTCTCCGTCCGTCTCCACATATTGGAAATGCTATCCCACAGGGTCTATTATGGGAGTTGGCTCCCTTAAGTGAGCCCCGCCCCTAGGCCTGATCGGGGTTCGGTCCCTCGGGGTGTGTTGCCTGTGCAGGGGGGTGTGGGCTCTCCACTGATTTCCTCGATATGCCTGGGAGTGAGCTGAGGCGGTAGTGGTTTGGGTATCGTCCTCCCCCTCATCGAATGATGGCATGGAGCGGATGTGGGATAGTGAGTTGGAGGTGTCATCGGTGGAGGTAGCCCCACCCCTCTCCTGTTCGTCCGCCATGCGCTGCATGACTGCTGCCATATCCCTCATCAGTTGAGGGTTTCTTTTGACGTCTTCTGGAATAACGTCCTCGAATCCTTGTGAGGCACTGTCGCTGACGTGCCACTGTGTAGACCAGTCCCCGGAGGATCCGTAACCCCTCCGGCCCCTGGTAGCAGAGCTTGGTGTCGCTGAAGTGATTCTAACCATCTTGAATAAGGCGGTGATTAGTCAAATAGCTTTGCTTGGAATTTTTGTTCAGTTTCCCACGGGCGGCGCCAATGTTGAGGTTTAGTCCCGTAGATCCGAAAGCCCAACACACGCTTTGGATATTGAGGATGTTTTGTCTCGGTTAAAAGGTGTAGAAAATATCAAACAATGAATTAAGATTTAACTCAAAAGCTAGCTTGTATTACGTAATTCTGCGATTACACAGAAACTACCCGAACGGTCTGTCGGTGTGAGTTCAAATACAAGAACAAGAGATATGATTCTATTTCTAAGCTCTGAGTATGAAATTGCTAACCCTTTACAATGTATTAAACACATGTATTTATACTAGAGAGGGAGTGGGTGAGATGGACACGTGGCCGAACCAGGTAGGCCGTTACCTCTGCCACGAGTGCACCTATGCCTCTACTTGTTACCGCCATATTTTAGCATTAATTGCAGTTATCCCCGGTCGGGTACCCGTTCGGAGTGCGGGACCCCTTTGTGGATGATTTGATGCCAATCTCCTGTTTAATTAGTTCAAGTGGATAATTCTACCCGAATGCTGTCCAGGTATCCCCGTTCGGGACGTCTTAGACCTTTCTGATTCCGTTATGCTTTGAGCCGGGTGTATTGGGCTTGGGCCTAATACCCCAACAGTACTCTATACAAGATATATAGTTGTAGATTTCTGAGAGGTTGAAGAAGACTTTTGTTGAGAGTTGGATGAAGGATTTGAAAGATGAATCTTCCAAGCTCTCGATTGAATTCTTGTGTAGAATGAAGTATTTAGCTCTCAAGAATTTGTGCACTTGTTTTAAAGGTTCGTAGTCGTCCAGTTATTCTGAGTGTATCATTTATATTTATACTGGACGACTTGATAGGGCAATTCCAATATTCCCTTCAACTTAACTTATATAGGCGTATCCGGCGGAATATAGCTCAAAGCAATCCCTTTCATAAATTGAGAATAAACATCTGCACATCAAATTCCACCATTGCCGTCCCTGTGTACAAGACAAGGCATGAAGACCACCACGGCGGCGATTGATTACGTCATGGAGGCCGCATCGGGCCCACATTTCTCCGGCCTTCGCCTGGACGGACTCCGGTCTCCAGCCGCTTCTTCTCCTCGCTCTTCCACCCCGACTCCTACTGCGTTCGCTTCTTCTTCCGCTCCTTTTACCGATTCCTCAGTCCACAAGCAACCTTTTGTCATCGGTACGACTTAATTGCTTGCTTATTTGTTTTACTATACGGGGTGTTTTTTCCATAAGTAAGAGCAAGCATAGTCTCAGTTATATATCATCTCCCTGTCGGGTACATGTGGCAATCTGTCGTTTTGAATATTGTGCACGCGGAGACACTCATTGATTATGTGATTATCCTCATATCTTTTTTCGTTTGATTGCTATGCACAGGGGTTTCGGGTGGCACTGCTTCTGGGAAAACTACTGTTTGCGACATGATTATTCAACAATTGCATGACCATCGTGTTGTTCTTGTCAATCAGGTCTCCTCTCTCCGTTCCTTTCTTTTCCCAGTTGCTTGTACTTAGCTCGTAAATTATACTTAGTGAAGTATAATCCGCTCTTTAAATGCTCAATGCCTCTTGAAATTAATCTCTTATGCCCCTCTCTTATGAATACGACATCCCTTTGAGTTTGCATGGATGATATATGAAAATATTTAGGTTACTGAAGAATTGATAATTTCGGAGGTTATTATAGGCGTTTTGTTTTGTTTTCTATAGAATATATATAAGGTCTGCAGATTTGCTAACTCATACTTTTTTTATACTTAGGATTCTTTCTACCGTGGGTTAACCCCTGAGGAGTTAAAACATGTCCACGAGTATAACTTTGACCATCCAGGTATTCATTTTTTTTTAATTAGGCATGATAGTATTTCGTTGAATTACTATAATTTGTAGTTTTTCCTCATCTATGGTATAGGATAGTTAATTTTAATTATCAGAGTTACTTGCATTTTCTATTTTCAGATGCTTTTGACACTGAACAGCTTTTAGAGTGCGTAGGAAAGCTAAAAGCTGGTCAGTCTGTCCATGTTCCCATTTATGACTTCAAGGCACACCAAAGGTGTTCTGATAGCTTCCGTCAGGTACCATTTCTCGTTTTGCTTTTAGAGGCAAAATGAGTTTCCAACTTATATGTGAGAATGTGTTATAAATTTCATTTCCAGTTAACATTACTGTGACATTTGAAGGTTATTTTCATTTTATTCTTGAGCATGTGTTTCACAAAGGCTCCAATCTGTCTCATTCATATTGCTCCCTGGAGTTGCAAATGACATTGTGTTTGTTCATTTATATGCATTTTGCTTTGTTTGCTTTCAATGAATCACTTCCAAGTTACTAATGTTATAGAGTTGCAGGTAAATGCATCTGATGTAATCATACTCGAGGGAATACTAGTATTTCATGACTCACGAGTCCGCGATTTAATGAATATGAAGATTTTTGTTGATACAGGTTTGACCCAATTTTTTTCTTATGCTGTTGCTTGCTTTGATGCATTTGTCTTTAGAGTAGAAATGTAGAATTTTTTATTGTTTAAGTAAAATACAACAGATTGCTTTTATAGGCTAAAACTAACCTAATTAAGGGTATAAGAAAATATGTACAAATCTCTTAATTGATACAAATCTCCTAAATAGTACTACGAAATCAAATCATAATAAAAATAGATCTCTAACAAATCTTTTATAAATAACCAACCCAAATATTTTATTGTTACGACACTCCCTCTCAAGTTGGTGAAATGGATATCCATCATTCCCAGCTTGCATGTAAGAGCTCAAAGTTGTTCTAATGGAAGGCCTTTGGTGAGCAAATCACCAGCTGAAATCCTGAAGGGACGTACTGTGTAGAAATCACACCGATGCCTAATTTCTTATTGATAAAGTGTCGGTCTATTTCTATGTGTTTTATTCTGTCATGTTGATATGATAATGAGCTATACTAATAACAGACTTACAGACCTATTATCACATAAAAGTTTCATATGAGATTGAAACTGTATTTTCAAATCTTCCAGTATGCTCTTCATCTATAATAATTCACAAACTTCTTGAGCTATGGCTCTAAATTCTGCCTCCGCACTTGACCATGCAACTACATTCTGCTTCTTGCTCCTCCATGTCAAACTAAGTTTCCACCTAAGAACATGCAATATCCTAAGAACATGCAATATCCTGTAGTGGACTTTCTATCAACAATTGACCCTACATAATCTGTATTTGTATAAACTTCCATAAACAAATGCTTCTTCTTTTTGAATAGTGAGCCTCTCCTTGGACCTGTCTTCAAATACAACAACAACATCCAAGCCTTATTCCCAAAAGATTTTGGGGTTGGCTAACATGAATCGATCCATGATATGAGAGCAAAAAAGAAAGAAAGATAAGAAAGATATTGGACCTGTCTTCAAATATTGCAAGATTTATTCACAGCTTGAAAGCGTCTCCCCTGTGGGTCATGCATGATTTGACTGATATACTAACAAGATAAGCTATATCAGGCCTGGTGTGGGATAGATAAATGAGTTTTCCACAAGTCTTTGATATTGCGTCACATTTCCACTCCTACCAATCCCGTGATTTTGCTCTATTGGCACTCCAGGGGGTTTGCAACCCAATTTACCAGTCTCCTTGAGAAGATCAAGAACATATTTTCTCTAGGAAATGAAAATGCCTTGTTTTGAGTATGTCACCTCCATAACTAGGAAATATTTCAGCTTTCCAAGGTACTGTATTTCAAACTAGGCTGCTAATTCCTTTCTTAGGTTCAGTTTTTCAAGGTATTTTATTTCAAACTGGCCTGCTAGTTCCTTTCTCAGGTTCAGCTATTCAAGTTCATCATTACCTGAAATTATCATATCGTCTACGCAGCCTAAAAGAATAGTGAGTTTGCCGTCCTCAGCACGATTTATAAAAAGTGCATGATCACCTTGGCTTTGATTATACTCAGGGATATCATAGCTTGAGTAAACCTTCCAAACCAAGCTCTGGGTGATTGTTTGAGCTCATATAAGGCCTTCTTCAATCTGCAAACCACTTATTCCAGAACTAGGACTAAACCCTAGCGAGATCTCCTTGAAAAATGCAATGAGAATGGAAAAAGTTGGCTGCATAGTTCAAATCTTTAGTTATTTTGTTGACAGACAAAAGGTTATTAGAAATATTTGGGACATGAAGGACACAATTTAGGTCAATATATGAACCAAGATGGATGTTCCCACATCCAGTAACTGAAATATGAGATTCATTTGCCTTAGTAATACGGGAACATGAACTAAGGTGGGTGTTCACCGGGAAAAATGTAATACAACAACAACGTCCAAGCTTAGTCCCAAAAGATTTTGGGGTCGGCTAATATGAATCTATTCATGATATCAGAGCCAAAAGGAAAAGAAAGATAAAAAGATTAGGTATGATAAAAAATAAGATAAAGATAAAGATAAAAGAAGAAAAAGATAAAAATGATGAGATAAAAAGGATAAAAAGAATATATACTCCCTCCATCCCACAATTAAATTTACAGTTTGATGTTTTGAATCAATGTTTATAAACTTTGACCGTGTTAGGAATATTGTAAATAATAAACTCACATATTCAGTGTAAAGTGTTTACCTGTTCAGTAGCCTTTGGTTGTTAGTGCTGTTAGACAGTTTGTTAGAGTTTGTTACTTGTAAACAACTATAAATACTTGTACAGACTTCAGTAATCAATAAGATCAATTCTTCCTCCTTTCTATTCCTGTTTTAATTCTATTATGGTATCAGAGCTTTAGCTCGATCTACCATGCCGGAAACTGACTCAACTTCATCTTCAACCTCAGCTACCGGAGGTATCACCTTTCCAGTAGCATTCTCTCATCCTCTCCCAATCAAATTAGATTCGAATAATTACCTTCTGTGGAAACATCACATTGAGTCTGTGATTCGCGCACACAAGCTCCTCAAGTTCATTGAGAATTCGAAAGCTCCTGAACAATTCATTACTGGTGACGATGGAAAGATTGTGAATGAAGCATATGTGGTATGGGAGCAACAGGATCAGATGTTGTTCTCATGGATGCTTTCGTCTCTATCTGAAACCCTACATGCTCGCAGCTCGCGTCATTCATTGTCAGCGATCGTACGAACTTTGGAGCACTATTCACAACTTCTTCAAAGCTAATGTTGTCACTAGGGCAAGGCAACTGAAATCTGAACTCTACAACACTGGCAAAGGAGAACGATCTATCTCAGAGTACCTGCTTCGGATCCAAACCATTGTTAACAATCTTATTCTTGTTGGCGAGCCGATCTCTAACAAAGAACACATCAATGTTATTCTCGAAGCATTCTCGAACCAGTCACATTAGCTGAACTTGAGTCCTTGCTCCTAGCAAAAGAGATGCATTTGAAGAAACTTCATGATACAACTCAACAAAATGTATTTTCTGCTAACATTGCCCAGGTTGATGCTTCTTCTAAGAACAATTCATCTGAAATCACTATGGCTATTGAAAACGCTTCAGCGAACGTTGCTCAGTATAATAACCCCAATAATGGTACTTCTTATCGTGGACGTGGTCGTGGTGGTTTTCACTGAGGTACGGGTGGTCGTTCTGGAGGTCGTAGCTCTATCATCTGCCAGGTCTGTGGAAAATCAGGCCATCATGCTTTGATTTGCTATCATAGGTATAATCCTGCCTATACCAACCCCAACCCTAATCCTGTTGTTCAAAATTCTACTTATTTAAATCCCACCCCTGGAGCTCCAACCTACTGGAATCCTAACTCACAACCTTACTATCATCCAAATCAATTCACTCATCAACCTAAACCACACACATTTCAATCTCAGCCTGCACAAACACATCTAAATCAGTCATGGAATCCTCAATTTCCTAATCCATCTCCTGAAACCTTCAACTGGGGACATCAACAACACTCCAACACCTTACCATCTGCAAACTATGCTACTGCCAATCCTTCAGTTCTTGGTCCTGCTCCATTTCATCAACACTGGTTTCCAGATTCAGGAGCTACCCACCATGTCACTGCAGACCCATTGAATTTTCAACATAGTGAGCCTCTTGCCACATCTGACAAGCTCTTCATGGGCAATGGCCAAGGTTTGAATATAAAGTCTATTGGTTTTTCTTCCTTTCCATCACCCTATCACTCCTCACAATCACTCTTACTGAATAATATGCTTCATGTCCCATCTATAACTAAAAATCTAATGAGTGTTAGTCAATTTGCCAAGGACAATAATGTCTTCTTTGAATTCTATCCTCATGACTGCTATGTCAAATCCTAGGTTTCTAAACAAGTCTTATTGCATGAAGTACTTGGAGAAGATGGCTTATACAAGCTTCCATGCATTCCTCTTGGTCCTGTCAAACTGCTGCAGTCCACCCACAAGCTTCTTTAATGTCTAGCAAAAAATTTGTGTATCCAGTTTCTTTTATGTCAACATGTAACAAGTCTCAGTCATGTACTTCTTCATGTAATCTGTGGCATCTCAGATTAGGTCACCCTCATATTGAGGCACTTAAATCTGTTCTTAAACATTGTAATGTGTCTTCTATCAATCAAAGTGATATTGACTTCTGTTCTGCTTGTTATCTTGGGAAAGCACACAGGCTTCCTTCATACCCATCTAACACTGTTTTTCATAAACCTTTTGAATTAATATTCACAGATCTATGGGGTCCAGCACCCATCTTATCCTTTGATGGATACTCCTATTATATAGCATTCATTGATGCCTTTACAAGGCATACCTGGATATAGGGGTGAACAAAAAAACCGAAAAACCGAAACCGACCGACAAACCGACCGAAACCAAACCGATCAAAACCGAAACCGACTCAAACCGATTAAACATTGGCGGTTCGGTTTACGGTTTCACCTTTGGGGTTAAAAAACCGACCGAACCGAAACCGACCGACAAAAACCGACAAAAACAAGCTAAAACTAACCGAAACCGACACGAACCGACCGATATTAACCGAACCGAAACCGAACCGAAACCGACTCAAGTAGTGCGGTTCGGTTTACGGTTTCATCTTTTCCGAAAAAAAACCGACCAAACCGAACCGACCAAACCGAAAACCGACCAAACCGAACCGACGAACACCCCTACCTGGATATACTTCCTGAAAAAGAAGTCTGATGCTCTTGCAGCATTCCAAAATTTCTACACCTTAATTCTTAATCAATTTTCCATATCCATAAAATCTGTACAATCTGACTGGGGTGGGGAGTTCAGATCTTTCACCCACTTTCTTAATGAAAAAGGAATCACCCACAGACTTATATGTCCTCACACACATCATCAAAGTGGTGTGGTTGAAAGAAAACATCGCACCATTGTTGAAAAAGGCTGTTCAATTCTAGCCCATTCTTCTTTACCTTTCAAGTTTTGGGATGCTGCATTTGCAACTTCAGTACATCTCATCAACAGAACTCCATCTAA